CGGAGTCGCCGCGGCCAAGCGGCTAGATGCTCACGCCGATCGGAAGGTCGTGGGTTCGCTACCTGGCGGAGCCGGACTTTTTTCAAAAATGACCTTGGCTCCAAGGTCGACCCAGCCTTGAATGGGTACCAGGTGCAGTCCCGGGAAGTTGTGGCGGCCGGCGTGATGCTGACCACATCACCCATCTTGTGCCGATTGGTCTATACAAATATAGGTCTAGCCCTATATGCCCTATACGCCTAAAGGCGTGGAAAAGGGTCCTTTACTTTTATTAGAAGGTAAAACGAAAGAGGAAAACATCAATTTCAACAAATGAAATAATTACCTTAATGTGCTGTGAATGCTATCTTTCAGGCCCACTGATCTCAAGTTTCTTGTGACACAAGTTTCTTGTATTTCTTGAGGTAAGGACTCGATGTCTGCTTTGTTGTTGCCTTTATTGATAGTTACATCAGCACAAACTTTGTCATATTAACTATTGCAATTGTTGTAATATAGTAGATAGTGCCTAGAGTAAGCAGCAAAGTAATCTGAGTTCAGTCACATGTTAACAGCAGACTTTTTCTCTGACTGCACACATCTGTTTGGCTGAAGCATTCTCAAAGAACAAGTAAAGATCCCGTTTCACGTCTTTTGGCAAAGGTAAAGGTAAAGTCGGGAGATGTGAACCAGCGTCATTGCTCACGATTATAAACCATAAGTGCTTTGCCACCAGTTCAGACAGCTGATAAGAAACGGTTCGCCTGTGTCGCCGTCCGCACGCAACTCCGTAGCTACAGCGACATTTCTCCATTTACCCCAGAGTGTTAACTCTGGCACCCATATCCTAGAGGCTGGGTGAACCACGGGAACCGCCCGGTTTCGAACACCGGCCGTGGGCTGCGACGAATCGCAGCTGGATTTGAAAGTGAGCCTCCTATTGATAGCGCTGTATCGGGTACATGGGAAGAGCACCCATATTTTTACAGACCATCGGTCTTAGGTGGGTAATGTGGTCAGCATTACGCCGATCGTCTTTACTTCTCAGGACAGCCACCCTGGTACCCATTTTAAGCTGATGCAACCTGCGACGCCCCATACAATGATAAAAATCTACGCAGCCAGCAGTGGTTTTTTTTAATCTCCTGTCCTTTTTAGGACTACATTTTTCGTTATTTGAAACCTTACTCTGGCTCTTGCCAGAAGCCGCAATATAGCTTGGCAATAAATATAGCCTAAAGGCTGAACGCAGTTTCTGGGACCTCTCCATGGTGACCTTCACCCTCATGGTGGCACTTTGTGTCATCGAGTGTTTATCGCTTGTGTGATGTTCTGGTGGGGTAGAAAGACAGTCAGTCAGTCAGTGGGTTTTCGAATTTTTGAATTACTAGTCGGACTCGCAACGCTTAAGCCACAGGCGCCGCATTCTCAAATAACGCGTACCCATAATTTGTTATGACACTCTTACAAAACGGGAGCCACCATGATGTAGCGGGCAGATGCTTGCCTGTGGGTCCCAATGTCATGGGTTTAAATCCGTAATGAGTCAAGCTTGATAGAAAAAACAAAACTGATGTTAGCTTCAAGGTCAACCCAGCTTTAAATAGGTACCAAGTAAAGTCCTGGGAAGTAAAGTGGCTAGTGTGGTCTGGATTACATCAGCCACAGAGCAGCCAATGATCTTTAAGACACAGATCTTCACTATTGGCCCAATACTTCTGAAAGTGTGGAAAAGAGCCCTTTACTTGATTCCTACAAAACAATGCAGTTATGGTCTCACCCATCTCCTCCTTCCCTCACTTCTCCAGTCTTTGAACTGAATCAGTTGCACGCTATTACAGAGCATTAACAGCGAAAAGTCTCTCTTGTGCATACCTAATATTTTATCAGATATATTATGATATTTTGATTCTGAGAACCCCTATGTAGAAGTTTTCACATAAACAAGATCTTGTTCAGTTCTTAGGTTATAACTGGGATCAATAGTGTCCACTGTATTTTTAACATTTACGTTTTTCATTTTACAACTGAATAAATATTTGCATTATAGTATAAACATTTCTTTCTGAAATTTATGTTGTTTTTTAATTATTGAATTAGCATGTTCACATCTTTTGGGTTATGACCAGGGTAAAAGGTTTATCATGATTATTTTGATAATATAAAGGGGAGTGGGAGGGTGGGGGCACGAGAAAGAAGAGGAAAGATTTAACGAAGAAGGATACAAATTGTAACTGTTTGTGTATTTAGTTTCAAGCCGAAAGAATACAGTTAAAATGTCAAACCTTTTCGTGTTTTTCTGGCTCTCTCAGCACGTCTGTAAGGCATTGTAGGTTGTTTCTAATCGAATTCACGTTTGCGTTTAATCTGCTGATTAATCAGAATAGAACATTCTAGTTACCCCCGATGTTCAGCCAAGGTAAGACCCCCGCCCCTTTTCTATCTCAGCTCTCACAGATACACCATTATTTTCTCTTTCCCTTCAAATATAAAGATACAAAGAAAAAAACATGTTATGTTTAATCTCTCCTCTCTCTTGCCCTCTTTTCCCCGTCTCTATCCGTTAGGCTCCCTCATATATATATATATATATATATATATATATATATATATATATATATATATATATATATATATATATATATATATATATATATATAACACACACATATGCACACTATTGTATATTATGTATAATTTGTTACTGTACAATGGGCTGTCATCTGATGCAGCAGCCATCCCAAGATCCTCGTGGGATGCAATTTGTGTTATTCTGAAGCCCCAACCTTGCTTTTGCCGGGCGCTCTGAATATAGCCCGGCCATAAATACGGCCTAGCCATAGATATGGTCTAAACGGCTGAAAGATGTTTCTGGAACCTCTCCACGGGTGATCCTCATCCGCATTGTGGCACTTTGTGTCGCCGCGTGTTTATCGCTTGTGTGATGTCCTGGTGGGGTACAACTACACACACACACACACACTCACTCACACACACACACACAGAGAGAGAGAGAGAGAGAGAGAGAGAGAGAGAGAGAGAGAGAGAGAGAGAGAGAGAGAGAAAGATCAACTGAAGATTCCCTTGATACGCTACTTATAATGATGACTTTGAAGACAGCACCAACAACACACAAAGGTCGTGCAATCATGTTAGCTCCAGATATTCACCCGTATCCAACAACATAGTCCATATAGCACTGGCGCTAGAGGCACCTGCTCACGTTCACTCATAACTTGGTCTAACCTTGCTTTCTGTTTATCTGTGTCAACTGTTCTGATTCATTTTTTAACTATGGTCTCTCTGAGAGCCACAGACAGTCATGCAAATTTCAGGGAGTTTCATGAAGTAAACAGATCTAGACAATAACAACAGATGTTTGTGGATACAGTGGACACATGACATAACAGATAAATAGTTTACATAACGTATTATGAATAGGGCAGTCGCCATGGTGTAGCAGCTAGACGCTCGTTTGCGGACCGGAAGGTCGTGGGTTCGGACTTTTTTCAAAAATGACCTTGACTCTCAGGTTGATCCAGCCTTGACCGAACTAACGAACGAACTTTATTTTCAAAGAAGTTACAAACTGGGTATGCAGGCCCGTCTTACATTTGGCCCTCACCTTTCACACAGCAGTTGTATAGTATCAATAAAGCATGTTATGGTAATCTAATAATATGCATAATATGGAAAGTAAAGGCGGCCGGCGTGATGCTGACCATATCACCCACCTAGTGCCGGTTGGTCTATAAAATATACTTAGCCCTATATGCCCAATACGCCTGAAGGCATAGAAGATGATATCTTACTTTACTTTACTTTATTATGAACAGGTGTAAGTAACAGGGGCACTTTCGTTTTTATTCACCTCAAACCGTAGCAGGAGAAGTTTTCACATTACTAATATCCTGTCCAGCCCGTCTGGGTTATATTTGGGATGTATAGTGTTTATTGTATTTGCAATGTATAACTTAAATATTTTATCTTCACCTTCTCGAGGTTAACTACTGCACATATCATCCACTTCTGTCAATCTCTGTGACTGGCCTTATGTTCCCAGTTGACTCCAAGTGTCTGAATGTATATTCTGTCCACCGACTTCTGACTGACTGACTTTCTACCCCACCAGGACATCACACAAGTGATAAACACCCGATGACACAAAGTGCCACCATGTGGGTGAGGATCACCGTGGAGAGGTCCCAGAAACCGCGTTCAGCCTTTAGGCCATATTTATGACCCGGCTATATTGCGGCCTCTGGCAAGAGCCAGAGTAGGGCTTAACATAACGAAAGGACGGGAAATATACCGACTTCTTGGTAAAGGAGTATTTTATGAATCGCATACTGCTGTCCTTTACGTAATTTACATGGTTAGTTTTGAAACATCATCCTTTTTATACCTACTGTCAGTACTGATAATGATTAAACACGAATTGCATACAAATGTAATGTCATTACTAATGATTATTTCCATACGACGAGGCACTTGTGAAAAACTTCAAACCCATCTAAAAATATGTAAAAACAGGGGAAAGGCGAAACGAGTAGTTAAAACAGATGACAACGAATATCACCAGCTGGGAGACTTCCTTGGCAGTTACAAAGGAAGATAGAGTAAATAGTAAAATATGGACTTCGCCAGAATACTGTGATCCCTATTTGTAACCTATTCTGGAATAGATGTGTAGTAAAAGTTGACAGATGAAGAAGAAAAATTATAGTATTTTGACTGTTTTTGTTGCCCTTTGTAGTACACCCCATTTTTTATTTTTGAATGAAAGTCTTTCTAACAAATATGTACTTACATAAATAAAATAACGGACAACTGGTGTCTGTCGTCTGCTGGAGTGTACCAGGGGACGGTACTGCCGTTGACTCACAACTCACAACTGAGAATATTTGGAGTAACCGCCCATGAGAGTTGAAGCTGTCGTCTTTTTATCGCATTTTCTGAAGGAACAGTTGTTGATTTTGCGTCTGCATTGTTTGGAAATAGTTATAATATTAATAATAACAATGAGTGAAAATGAAGAAATGCAACAAGAAGCATCGCTTCAACTCTATAAATCACAGGTATATTTTCCGTATATAATTTCTCCCTGTCTTAACTTGAACACTTGTGCCTGATGATTGCAAGGAAGAGATCAAAGTAATCAAACACACTTGATCTGTCCGGTCAGGAGTAGTACTGTAATGACAAGTCAGCCCGGCATATATAGTATATACAACTATGTTTGCTGTTCTGTGCTGTATTTGTGACCCCTGGAGTGGGCACATAGCTAAATGTGTTTATTATAGGTTACTGGTGACCCCCAGAAATGGCTCCGAATGCGTTCTTCTGTGTTAATGGACTCACGTCAAGTGGTCAAGGCTAGGTGCCAGCTTTTGAGATGGTACTGTACATTCTTTGTAGCCTGTCCATGTTTATACCTGGGAGAGTTTAATAGATAGTGTTCAGTTATTTGCCACCAATTTAGCGTCCTAATGTGTGTTGCATGCGGAATCATGTGGATTCGGAAGGGTTGTAACATTGTTTGGGATATTGTCGTGTAAATTGTGTTTTCGGGAGTCCATGGAATGTCCGGTGACCTGAGTCAATATTTGGTCCAGTGTTGACTTAAGCCAGGAGATGTCAGTCAGCTTGAGTCAGTTTTATTACAAGTGGGTGTTAGGGCTGGATGGACCAGTGGATTCACAAATTTATCAGCCCAGTGCGGACTAATTATCATACTTAGTGCGTGGATAGCAGCTGTTGCACGCAAAAGTATGGGGTTCTCAGTGAGGGGGAATCAGGCATAACAGTGGGCATCTTGTGTGCACAGAGGCTCACAAGAGACAGGCGTGTGTATATAGTGGGGTTGAGTTCATTTGAGAGAGAGGTCTGCTATAACGCCTTGAGAGAACAGTTGAGTTGAGAACGTTCAAGGTGGGAACACTCGCGAGAGACAGTTGAAGGAAGAGAAGCTCAGGTGGCAGAGTTAGGCCTAGAGAGCTGGGCCACTTCAAGAACAAGCTGTCTTGAGTGACAACACATGTGAGGCGGTAGGATCACTAGTGAAACAAGACAGCAGGGATGACGGCGACAGTTGTGTGCTGAAGAGGACTCAGGATTGGAGTCCTGCCGGTCATTGGGGTTCCTTCGCAAGGCTTCTGTGCTGTGTGCACATACTGGAGATCACGAATCAGAAGTTTTCCAGTCAGATGATGTGACAGTGTCACAGTATCAAGTTGAGTAGGAGATGTAACCTGTTCATCCATACAGTGAGTTCTGATGTGAGAGGAGCTGGAGACCTAAGCACTGTAGTGGTCAGCTTCGTGTGTATGGCAGCTAGCATAGGCTGTCCGAGAGAGCGCCGCTGTGTCAGTTTGAGCGAGTAAAGTGAGGGACATTCATTTCATAGTTAGCCAGTGACCTGTATGGTTACTTTGCTTGCATTATTATGTGTACAGGTTTGTCTATACCCACTTGAAATTGTGACAATAAATGTGCATATATGGCAGCAACATGTCGTTGAGTTTTCCTGACAGTTTTGTGTGCAAGTTGGGTACAACAGTTGGGTTGTGAATCATATCCTGGACACTTGGTCGTGTGCTGTCCCTGCACACACAACAATGTGTTTGTCCATGAGTAAACTAGACCTGTTGCACTAACTGTACACCCTTGGAGTGATATATTAGTTTTTGTAGAGTGTGTTCCTGGTTACGATGTCACCTGTGTGTACCTGTACTATCTCAGTATTCTAGTATTCTCCTGGAGAGAATGCACTAGTTGGTGGTTGTTCATCAGCGGCCTGGTCGCACTATTAGCTAACTGGTAGACGACTTTGGGGCCAGTCGGGACATTATTTGGGTCTGTCTCCTTTTATCGCATCAGCACTGCAGGAGTCATTTTTAGGGCTACTTGGTGGCTGGCAATGCTGAGCCATTTTATGAGACGCAAATAACCTAGTCACATTTATAACCGAAAGCTGCGCCTTTGGGAATGCTGGTTGAATGTGACGATTTTTTAAAATTTTTTTTTTTACAAATCAAGGCAAGCAAGACTAGTTGTCATTGTCTAGGAAGCTCTTTATGTGACCAGAGCAAGTCATACATCCTTGTCACTTGTTATGATGCATAACCACATAAAGCATTTAAGAAATAATTGTAAAGCTGCTAGGGACTGACTTCACGATGAGAAAATGATGCTGTGTCTCCGGGCAACCATGAAGCCATTCAATCATAATGTCCACTCTGACAGTTACCCCAAATAAAGTATCTAATAATTACATGAATCAAAGTTCATGCACATGAGGCACACATCAAGTTCAGGCAAGGAGTGACCTCCCAACGCAGCGGATACCATCACAAATACATTTATTGACATTTGGTGCTCATGCTCACAGGCATGCAAAATGAGGATGTAAAGTACACAAACATTGCACAGTGGCATCACCATAAAGCATTTTGCAAGTAACAGCCTAAGCTCAACAAATTCTTAGAGTTATCGACAGGCTGTGCTCAGGGGACGCAAAGTAGCACTTGCGGTCTAAAGACCCACAAGCTTACTCACTGCTATTCAGTGCCTACAAACAAGCTGGCTAACCAACTAAAATCAGGGTTAGCAGTAGAATCAGGCCACTGTCTGGTTTCCACATACTCGTCTTGCTGTTAAACGAAAATCTGACTGTAATAGCACAGACATTGCATACTAGCTTGATACTTCACAAATAGCACATCGTCCCCATGGCATACAACTGTAAGCTAGAGCAAAGGAAAGGAACACTAATATCCTCACTGTGGGAACATTTCCACACAGCTTCACACCAGCTTCACCTGCCGGCCCAAAGGTCAATTTAGAATCCACATTGTGTCAGATTTTTTCTATCAGAAATGACCTTGACTGTCAGGTTGACCCAGCCTTAAAAGAAATGGGTACCAGGTAAAGTTCTGGGAAGTAAAGATGGCCATAATGACGCTGACCTGGTCACCCACCAAGTGCCGATTGATCTATACAAATGTGAGTCTAGCATCGTACATCGGTTGTGTCACTGTCATGAAAAAGAGCTGAAGAGAATGACACCACACTAAAGAATGGTTAATGTAGGCACTGAAGACCAAATAAAAAAAACAGCTGTTGAAATGATTATACACATCTTTTAATTACTATGCTTTGCATTTTTTTCAGGTCTCCCAGGTGGAGCAAGCCATTCAGGCAGCTGGAGAATCTCCTGACCTGACCCAATTAAGAAATGACCTTCAGGAGTTGATTTCTCTGACAGAAGGTGAATTTTATATATTTTCCTGTTATTGTTTTATGCTTCTTCTGATACCCTCAAAGTTTAATTATTGCTTGACTGATTGGTTCACTTCTTGCCTTCAGTTTTCCTTATTTGAAATTTTTATTTTAAACCAAAGAAATGTCAACTAATATAATGGCTAGGTACTTTTTATGATATGGAATCTGGTAGAGAAAAAAAAAATAAAAAATCTTTTAAAACCAAAGAAATATTAATTAAAGAAATGGCTAGGTACTGTTTAAAATATAGAATCTGGTAGAGGATGAAAAAACATTAACAGAGAAACTTTATTTTCATAGGCTTTAGAATTAGGCATGCAGGTCTGTCTAGTATTTTGCCCACTGGATCTTTCAGTTATACACCATTTATTCATACATATCTTATTTGGTTAATTTCTTCAGTTCCTTACACGTAACAAGTACTCCTCCTCCTCAAATGTCTTATTAATTACCTCTCCACAATCCACGATCTGCGACTGCTTGTATCAGTTCGTGTGCTGATATCCTTCCAAGCCATAACAAAAGGCTGTAAAGAATCTTCTTGCACTGTCTTCCTCTGTCTCTCTTTCCTCAGATCTTTCCAGTAGTCACAACATGTATCAGTTTCCCTCTTCTCATAATAGGACCACAAATGATGACTGTTGCCTCTTTCAGAACATCTGGCTTGCTCTTTTTAGCTGTCTAAGGAATTCTGAGAATTCTTCTGTACAACAACATCTCAGAGGCCTCAAGAAATTGTTCAGCTCGTTTGTTAATTGTCCAGGCTTCACCGCCGTATGTTTAAACATTTATTTATTGCACAAAATGTTCTTCATTTTATAAAAAGCAGTTTTGGCCTGTCCTATTCTGTTCATCTATGTGATACATCTTTCATCGGATGTTATCCATGTGCCTAGATACTTACATTTCTTTACTCCTTTCACTTTTATTTTACATTTAGGCACTATTCTTTTCTTGAAAATCACCATTACTTCTGTCTTCTCCATTATTCAGACTGAGGCCCAGTTTATCACTTTCTATCACCACAATATCTATCTATGCCTGAATTTAGTTCTGGCTTGTCGCTATCAAGATGCTGTCTTCAGCATAATGCATGTTTGCCAGATAGACCACCAACCAGCAGTTCTGGCTTTGCTTGTCCTGCTATCAAGGTGTTGTCTTCAGCATAATGCATGTTTATATTATGTCTACCAACCACAATTCCTGGCTTGTTGCTATCAAGATGCTGTCTTCAGCATAATGCATGTTTATATTATGACCACCAACCACAATTCCTGGCTTGTTGCTATCAAGATGTTGTCTTCAGCACAATAGGCAGTTTATATTAGGTGACGGTAAAACACCAACCTCTTGCAATTCTCTTTTGGCTCGGTGTGGCTATCAAGCAGTTGCTTTTCTTCAGCAGTAATGCATTTTGGTTAATATTATGTCTACCAACCACAGTTCCTGGATCTTTTTAGTTGCTGATGAAGCTGTTTTTCAAGTCTTCAGCATAATGCACTGTTTGCCTCTGATTAGCTGTCTACCACATCACAGTTCCTGATATACTTGGGCTATCTTCCAGTACAAGAGTGCTGTCTTCTCAGCATAATGCATGTTTATATTAAGAATGAAGAGGTAAGGTGATGAGAATATCACCAACCACAGTTCTTAAATTCTTCTGGCTTGTCTGCTATCAAGATGCTGTCTCAGTATTGCAATAATGCATGTTTATATTATGTTTTTCCCTGCCAACCACAATTTCCTGGCTTGTTGCTATCAGAGAAAAAACATGTTCTCACTCTTCATTCAGGTTCAGCATAATGCATGTTTATATTATGACCACCAACCACAATTCCTAGCATAATCCGTGATGGATCTCATTATAGATTCACTGTATAAGGAAAACAAATCAGGTGATAGTCGACATCCTTGTTGTACTCCCCTCTTTATGGTCTGAAATGTTCCCAAATTGCTATTAATTCTTATAGCTTCTGCTTACTGCCGATACGTGTTCTTTATAATTCATGAATCTTTTCCATAAATATTTAACCTTTCCAGTTGTTTGATTATTTCATGTTTCACACAATCAAATGCTTTCATGTAGTCATTGAAGCATCAGTAAAGATCATTTTTCACTTCTTTAACTCTTTCCCAAAACAAATACTGGCATCTCTTATTTTTACAATGCATTCTTCTTTCACATTTTTAGAACATCTGCTTGAGCTTAAGAAAGCCCGGCTGCTGAAATCTTTAGGAGATCCAGATTTTGATCAGCCAGATACTTCTACAGATCAGCAGACATCAAATGTTGATGATGAATATGCAGTCTTCCAGGTGAGAAGTGTTCATACCAGATTCTGATGAACATTTTGATAAAAACTAGCTTATATTAAATGTCTGTGTTTGCAGTTTAAAAAAATGCAGACATCCTCCATGATCTGAGAATTTAATTGACTTTTTACCCCACCAGGACATCACACTGAGCGATAAACACCTGGTGACCCAGAGAGCCACTGTTCGGATGAGGATCAACCGCCGAAAGGTCCAAGAAACCCCGTTCAGCCATTCGGTTGTATAGGGTCCCTGGCAGCAACCAGGGTGTGGCTTCAAAATAGCAAAAAAATTTTGTTTTACATGGGGATGGAGATTATAACTATCTAAGCATTGACAAGAATTGGCTTATAAACAGAATCCTGCCCTAAAGCTGAGCTATTTATATTTTGGCCATGTTAAACTTTAAGGTGGCCTGGAGAAAAAGGAGATGGAGGTGAGATTTTGGAAATACGAGGCAAAGGCAGGCCTATTTGAAGGTGCATCCAGGATATTGAAGATTTATTGGCTATGAAAGCACATAGGGCTAGCAAATTGGCTAGAGAAAAAGAGACTTTCATGCATGCCGTTAATAGAATGACATTATTTGGTGGACACGCTGACTGATTGATTGCAGGTGCTTAAATTTACTGCTATGGTTATTTCTTTATAGAAATGCATCTACCAACAACATTAAGGCGAGTATGTAAATATGTAGGTAAAGAATTCCACATTTTGAGTGAGTGTTGTACTCGATGGTGCCGGTATCATCAGTATTGGAACTCTGCACTGGCTGCTGAAGATGAGGACGGAGCACACATGGGAATGCCCCGAGTTCTGTGATGTCAGTTTTTGACTTAACTCAGTTCAGCTGTACTTGATAGGTGATGTATATATATCTGACTAGAACATTTTGAGTAAGTTATAAAACCACATTTCCACTGCCTCCACATAATTTGTCACTAAGTGGCTAACTGTCCATGATATAACATGCCTTTTTCTTTTGTGAAGTACTCACAGTAGGTTGTAGTTTCATTCTATGAGAGCCATGCTCATACTAAGCAGGCTGTCCTAGCCATTGTGCTTGTCTCCTCTTTGTAGCACAGTTAAACTACTGACCAGTACAAAAAACCTCTCAGCTGTACCACTTTCGCTGTACCACTTTTATCCATGACCTGACTGCAATGACTTTACGTAACCTTGATCAATGGCTAAACAGGGGTTGTACCCCTTTAGCAAAATACAAAGACAGAACTGACACTAAAACCATTGCACGGCTTTCCTCTGTTGTTAGTTGTGCATCCTTTACAGGCTGTTGCAGAACCAACACCAGCATTAGCTGCTGTGGTTTTTCTAGGCAAATTTATGATACCACTGTCAAAACTAACGCAAGGCGCACAGCTGAAATTGAACCCGGCACCCCAGCATTACCATGCACGTGCCCAATGCCTTAGTCACAGACGCCGACAGCTTTCCTCTATTATTTCTACTTTATTTCAATACAGGCTGCCTTGTCTGAGGAGTTGAAAGTTGCACCAAGTCACTCAGCTTTGCCATCATCTTCAAACAATGTTTCCAGAAATGACAGTAATTATGACAGTAGTGGGGATGAGGACAGCAGGGAAGAACTACAAGCTTCACCTGACTATTCTCAGCTGATTGGAACAAAATGCAGAGCTCCATTTTCTCATGAATATGGAGGGTTTCATTATGGAAATGCTATGATATGGTCCATAGATCCACTAGCAGAAAGTAGTGATGAATATAAGGTAATTTTTTTTTCTGTTTTTGTGTGTGTCATGTGGATTACTTCTCTATGAGTTGTTTTGCATTTGTTCAGCTATTCTTTGTATCACCTCTACAGTAGTTACCCCCACATTCCATGACTTTAGTGCCTGTATATAATGCTGATCATATTTAATTTCTCATAATTGCGATGTTCTTCTTTTGTTCTGTTATGCCTTTCAGCGTCAGATTTTGAAGAGGCATCTGGTACAAGTCTTGGTTATGTGCTAAGTAGATGCTGTTGTTTACAGCCTCATGAATTGCATCGATCCACTGCTTGGGTTATCAACTTCTAGAACTGTTTTCATTGTGTCTAAGTGACAGATTCTCTATGGTCCACTATCTGATAGTAGTCTCAATATATATGCAAACAATTTGATCTGTTGTCTCATGATGCAGTTTAGTACTGATTCTATCCCAGCTTTTTTCCTTTAATTGTCTTTTCTGATCCTGTCTTTTATAGTTAAAATTAGAAATTGTCATAGACATTTTATTTCCGTTGTTTCGATTTTCAAATGTAACAAAGAATTACAAAAAAATGTATCAAAGTATATTATACTACTGCTGTTATTTTTAGGATTATCCTAACATGAATAAGTGCATGCTTCTTCTGCTTGCTGAAAGCGATCACTTTGCAAAATATAGATTATAACAGCAATGTCACTTCCAGTAGACTTTCCTCTTGGGCATTAGATTGGACTCTGTTGACAGTGGCATGCCATAAACTGGTCTAGACATTATTCAACCTAAAATTGTTTAGTTAGTTAAGTTAGTTAATTGAAAGATCAACGCTTGGATCCCATTTTCAGTATATCCCTCCGTGTGTGGTGGTTGATAACACCAGTTCTGTATTGGTTTACTATTCTTCTTTGGCTACCTGCATAATGTTCATGTTTGGCGACACTTTTTTTGACCTGGTGTTCTGGTAGTCTTTTGATTGTTGCCAATTCAACGTCGTCTCCTAAATCAGCTTCTCGTCTTGCCTCCTTGAGAGCATCAACCTAAGGTAATTTTGGGCAGTCTGTGTTGTCTCTTTGTTATCTGCCATTCTTTCTTTATGTCACAACCATTGCAGTCTGTTAGCCCTTATGATGCCAGTAATTTAGTGGTGGTGAAATAGATTCTGAATTTCATTTTATACTTCTTGTCTGTATTTACTGGTTTTTTGTTTTGTTTGATGGGTCCAAAGATTCATTATAAGACTGTTTTGACAAGTTTTTAATAAGCATCATTCTTTTTGTTGTACTTCAAGTTTCAGAGCCATATAGGACAATTAGTCTTATCAATGTTTCATATATTGTGATCTTGTTCCAAAAATGTGATGATTAAAACAAGAAAAGTACAAAAAAACTGCGTAAACAAATGAGTTGAATGGGACTAGACCACAAGGCAGAGACAAAAAGAGAAAGGAGAGACAATATACAAGCAGACCAACTGGAAAGAGGCCATTTGATGAGATAAATGAAAGCGGATTACATCTAGAGCAGTGAATCTCAAGGGTTCGGAATGCTTGACCTTTTGCCTGTCAGTGTAAATGACGGCATCACCATCAGAAAATGTATCAAATATCAAGGCTTTAATTTCCACCTCCATTAAAACGCTTTGTTATTGCATTGTAAACAGACTAGTTCAAAACTTTGTAAGCATAATAGAAACATTGTCTTCTTTCAGTGACAGTTATTATTTGAAGGCTGTCATTTTTTAATCTTATTTGTGGCTTATTTCAGAATTGTCTTTGTTGTTAGTAGACATCATGTGAAATACTAATTTGGACACAAGGACATAAGAGTGCATGGGCATTTACAGCTCGCTCTTCAGGCAAAACAGTTCAAGACGCCAGTGGTGCCTTCTCCATGATTACCAGCAGCATGACGATGGAGGTAATGGAGGTGACACAGGCTTTCATGTGGCTGGAATCACAGGACTATTTCTACATGTGTGTGCTGAGAGATTCTTTCAGCATGATCTGGGGGGTCGAGGCAAGCTGGTTATGCAGACAGTGGCTTGAGTAATTGCAAAACTTTCCTGTGTGTGCAGTTACCTTTATATTCATCCCAGGGCATAAAGGCGATGTTGGTAATGAAAGAGCTGATAGACTGGCAGGTGCTGCATTAATTGAAGATGGCCGGCCCATGGATCACGCAGATATTGTCATTGCCTTTAGAGAGATAGCACATTCTGAGGATTTTGGTAGCGACATGTCCACATCACTGCTAAGAATACGAGAATTGGGAGTAAAGATCGGCACAGCCAAGCATGAGAAGCACACCAGGCGCACACGAAGTCTTGTTAACCAACACAGGACTGGCAGTATTAACCGCGCGACGCTGATGAAATATGTTGAGAGGGAAATCTGAGCGCCTATGGATGTGTCCGGAGTGCTGTGAAGATATAATCATAACTCATAACTAATTTTGATTAATTTTTATACTTTTCGTCACAGGTTCGAGTTGTGTTCATTAATCCAACCCACCCATCTATGATTCCTTGTAAATACTTCCTAGATGGCAACTGTCGGTTTTCTGATGAGGAATGCAGGTACAATGTTATGCAAAATATTTTACACATATATTGTATATACAAGTTTTAACCTTGATTAGTATTTGCCTCCTTTGGTACATTCTGTCTTGTAAGGACAGCACCTGTGGAGCAAATGACCTTCTGCTGGGCTTTCATTGAATTAACTCTTTCACTTGTAATCCCACACAAAGCATGTGTTACTGGTTATTCCCCACATGTCTCAGACATCGCATCAGGTGTCTTCTTATATTTAAGAGTCGAGTTCATTCAAGAACCAACATCACAGCACTCGGGGCATTCCCATAAGTACTCCGTCCACATCTTTAGCAGCCAGCCTTCATTGTGAAGACAACACCTGATTAATTTATAAAATGATGCTGATGAAAGCAGCCAGTCAGGAAAAAAACTGAATACAGTGTTTGTGTAAAATGATTGAAAAAAAAAATAATATGAGCCTAACTAAGTATGAACAATAAATAAAGACCAAAAACTGTAATCAAAGAAATGACATATACATATCTACAATTAGGGTAATAGTGATACTTGAATGTGTTTTGAGTCATGCTAGATCTTGTAAGTAGCATTTAAAGTGGGCTAAACTTCAATAAAGCTGTATAAAAAGAAGAAAAAAAAAAAACCACAGTGAGTCAATAAACAAAATGGAAAGTAGAACCGGGCAGCATTACAAAACACAATTACAAGACTCAGAACTGACATTTCAGTTAGAAAGCCGCCGTTATTGTTGTATGCAAAATACATCCCCGGACTGCACGTGTCAGTTAGTATGCAAAAAGATAATGATACAACTGTTTACATAAAACTACAAATAAGTAAGTATTTGAAGTCTGAGTCCAAGAGTCAGAATAAACGTACAATACAGACCTGACCAGTTCTACTTTCCTCTTGTCCATAGATCCACATATAGATTTAAATTGTTTTTTTGTTAACATTTTTAAACATATTTTCTTCTGTTTTGATACATGCACATGTTGCTTGTGTATTTCTCCTGCAAATGGATCTTTATACATCTTTATGTCATTGTCACTTGTTTGTTGTTCCTGCAGTAGTTCTTGGTGCATCATAATGTCATTGTTACTTGAGTGTTTTCCGATGCTGTATATATCATTGTGATGAAGCAGTTGCCCCACACAGCATTCACTGAGTTTGTGACATCATTCATGCTGACCGTCAGGTAATACTGATGGTCTGGTATACAGGTAATTCAGTGTTACCCCACAGTCAGCATGAATGATGTTCTCAATCTTTTTTTTGGGTCGCATGACCCCTTTCACCAGGGTCGTATAAGACCATCGTAAAACACATATTTATTGAAGTTATGAAGAAAAATAATTGTTTGGGGGTCGCCACAACATGAGTGAACTGTATTAAAGAGTCGCAGCATTAGGGAGGTTCAGAGTCACTGTTCTAGACTGATTTAGCCTAAAATGGGCACGAGCCAAGTTGAAGATTTTGAACAACGGATCAACATCATGGCACCTAGGTAGTAACCCGTAAATGCTCTGTTCTTCTTCTAACTCAAGTTGACTAAGAAGACTCAGGCTCTGTAGCACCGGCGAGGATATATTTTGGGTTGAGTTTAACTCAAAATTTTGCCAGGGCAGCACCGTTAGGCCACTCTTTTCAATTTCCAAACTGGCAAGGGATTTTTTACCTGCGCAGCAATGCACACGAGTGTCCGATCTCACTACCCAGAAACCAGGGAAATACTAGAAGTCCAAGGCCACGTGAAAAAATCCCAGCCCTTACCGGGGATTGAACCCGGAACCTCTAGCACTCGAGGTGGACACCATGCTTTGAGACCATGCAGCCCCGCTCTGCAAAGTTGAACAGCCTAGGTCATGTTGAGTGCTGACTGATCTAAGTTTGTTTACTTGATCTTTTGTTGACTTACATTTGATCTGTTTGACTTACGTGTTGCAGGCGTTCTCATAGTCATCCTGTGTTAGTGTCAGAGCTCAAGGCTTTTGAAGAACCAGATCACAGGTGAGAAGTAAACCAGCTTAACCAAACTATTGTTAATTAAACAGTGCACCACATGCTCACGGATAACTGATACATGAACTACTGAAATTATTCTGTGACACACCTTTCAGCCAAAATGGCCAGTAGAAATTGTTTTGCTCTGAAAAGTTATTTGTTTCCAGCTAGGTTTTGTTGATGCAAATTCGCAGTTTCTGGACCGGGAGTCCAAAGGTTTCATTACCCAGCTGTTGATTTGAGTGTTTGTTGCCACACTATGAGCTGTGGATTTTATGTTTCAGTGTCTTTTCTTTGTGCCCATGACGTGTTGTTGACCTCACTAAAATGGCAATTGGCCAATTACATTTAGAACGTTGTGTATTTTTACGGGTATAATGCTGGTTTTCATGATAAACTACGCCATCAGTGAGCTGCAGTTCTGGTGTGGGGTCATCAATGTTGGCACATCTGACAGCTGCCTTTATACATTTTTACTTTGTGCAAGCTTCAAGATTTTGCTGGGACCGACAAATTAAGAATTTTTTTTTTTTTTTTCAAATAGAAGCAATTATGGGATGACGTGTCTGTATTGATGTTGGAACCTTTACCAGTGACTGACAACAGATCTATTACAGTAGTAGGACTGTAAAGGGATCAGTGTATAGTCTTTGCTTAGTTTTTTTAGAATATCTTGTATGTGTGCAAAGTCAAACTTCTTTGCTATGAACTCACTTAAGATGAACAATTGGCTGTCTTGTACAAAATGTTTGTTTTGTTGCTATGTATTATAACTCTCCCTGAGTATGTAAGGGTAAGCCCTCTAACAGCGGCGTGTTGCTGACCACGTCACCCACCAAGTACACACACAAAACAGGCACAACTTTGTTCCCATGCAGAACCCTTCTCCTTTCTTATCCGGGCTTGGGAGATAAAATATACCCATGTGTAGGTACATATATACATACAGTCATGCATGCATACACACCCACTCTCACATACACACACATATTCACACTTGTCCTCCCACTTGTAATGGTGTCTACCTCTTGCTCTCTTGCCTCGACCTTTTCCTCCGGTATGGTTTTTAAAAGCATGTTATGTCTTTTAATGTGACCACAATATTTCTGTTATCAAATTTTTTTGTTTCATTAATTCTCTTTTCTTTAACAGTCTTTCCAAAACCTCTGTATTTGATTGTTTTTTATTTCTATGAAATGAGGATTGAAGAGTCACAGTCACCAACGTCTGTTACAGACTAGACACCCAAGTTCTGCAACACGATCAAAGACCAGAAAAAAATTAAATTTTTTTTTGATGCGGGGTGGGGTAGGAGGAGAATAGACTCACTCTGCGTCAAACAACGTGTCATAAAAGTGGACTAATTAGCAGTGTTTCCTTCATAGTTGCAGAGCATCTATATGAGAGGTTAGGAGCCAACACTCTGCCTAAAAAATAAGCCCGATTTGTAAAACAGAGGATTAGGCAAAACTCCAGTTCTGGAACAGAATCAGAGTCCTGAAGTGGCAGAACTTTCTGCTCTAGATTACAGCCAGTGAATGCTAAGAAGAAGAAGGCCAAACTGCCAATTACCTGCCTTTATCATACCACTTTTGTGATGTAGGCAGGGGGGTCTTTGAGTCTGAGGATTGACAGCCGCTTAGCTAGTTTCTGTCGCCACAACTGTGCAGGTGAGGATTTTTTCTGCCCCTGACAGAAAAAATCCCTCAGCCTTACAAAGGATTCAAACATGGTTCTCCTGCTTGAGAGCCCAGTGTTCTAACCGTTCGGCCAGCCGCACAAGGAGAATGGCGAAGCTATCAAAACTGCACGTGCAGATGTCAAAGTATCTGTCTACCTTGGCTGCTTTGCCATCATCATCCTTCATTTTAGAAAGAAAATAGAGGCTTATGAACTGAAAGGCTATTGTAAGAATAAAGTGAACATAGAAGAGAAGAGAAACTTAAATTTTAAACATTAAACATCCAGGAAGATTGGCTGATAAACAGCATCTTGTCTCGGAAGCTGAAATATTTTGGTCATATCAAGCTCCACGCAGATTAGACAAATAAAAGCAGAAGGCAAGGTACCAGGAAGGAGGGGCAGGGGCCGAACAGCCACAAAAATGGGCGCAGGATATAAATAAGTGACTCCTCGAATATGAAAGTACACTAGGCAGGCGAGCTGGGAAAAAGACAGATTTTATTTCACGCAGACCTTGATGAGAACGACGTTCAGCAAAGGACCTGCCTACATGATGACAATGACATTACATTTCATGCTTGAATTTGTATTCTTTCAGCAAAATAATTGAAGGGTGTCGCTGCCTGGCCAAGAACTTAGATGATGTGTGGCATACAGCTACAGTTATTGATGTCTGTGACGATCACTTGGTCAATGTACGATTTGACTCTCAGCAATTGGAATGTACAGTTCAAGTGGAGCACATTGTACCACTAGGTAACTAATTTAAAAGAGGTCTCCATCAGTCAGTCCGTATTATGTCCCTTGCAGAACCTTGCTCCATCAGTCAGTCCGTATTATGTCCCTTGCAGAACCTTGCTCCATCAGTCAGTCCGTATTATGTCCCTTGCAGAACCTCGCTCCCAAAACAACCTTCCAGAAAACTTCTTGATGACAAGCAAGATGTCCTGCGTCCGATACACCCATCCAGAGATCATCCGCCACATCCTGCACTTATCTTTTCTTTGGCCTTCCTCTTCCTCTCTTCCCAGGCATGTATTGTTGTCTCTAAACTTTCGTGACATTTCAGGTGAACAAAGTATTTTAATTTTCTATGTTTTATCATCTTTAATAAAACAGGTCTACTTCTTCTTATAGTCAATGTCATGTGGCATTGGTAGTCATTTCTGTGCACAACCTTCTGTCTTGTCCACTTTTAATCAGCACTGACACAGATGATCAGAACAGGCAAATGCTGAAATTAGCCGAAGCTTTAACAATACAGATGAACGACCCTAATCCCACCCTTGTGTAAACAGCAGGAATTTATTATAAATTTGAAATTACCATTGTAAGTTTAATGACTGTCCTGAACTTATGGGGGATTAGATGAACAGTGACCGGGAAGGCTAACCCAGTCAACAAATGCCTGCAGAAGTCGGATGTGTTGGCCGAAAGGTGCAAATGTCGCAGCCATGCTGTAAACAGACGAAACGCAATTACATCTTCGGATGAATGCAGAAGAAGAAGAAGGTGAACAGTGTATTGAGAGAGACCAGTGTATTGAGAGAGACCAGTGTATTGAGAGAGACCAGTGTATTGAGAGAGACCATTTGTATTTCAATGGAATGAATTCAGTTTTTGTGCTTCATTATATGTTGATTTAACTCTGTAGTAACTCACCTGGCGAGATATAGTGACATTAAAAAAAGCAAAGGCCCCTTTTCCACACCTTTAGGCATTAAGGGCATATAGGGTAAGACCTATATTTTTACAGACCAATCGGCACAAGATGGGTGATGTGGTCAGCATCATGCCGGCCGCCTTTACTTCCAGAGACTGCACCCCATACCCACTCAAGGCTGGGTGGACCTGGGAGTCAAGATCATACTGTACATGACCCCCCTCCCCACACACAAAAAAGCAGACACAGCAGAGTTGCATGAAAATTAAAAATAAAGGCTAAAATAAAAAAAAATTAGTGTAGGCTGTCTTTTTCAAGTCATTGCAAATCAGCACAAGTAATTATTGCCTGTTTGGTAAAGGTGGGGGGAGGGGGGGGGGGCAGTTGTGTTTCAGTAGTTTGCCATTTCTTTCTGAATAATGTAAGACCGATATCATAGTCAAAGTCAACGCACAGCAGTCTACTATTAAACTGCCTACAAATGACTTTGAACCTCGGTGTGTAGATTTTGTGAAATTACGCTCACAACTGCTAAGCCACATCACTAAATTAAATCATAAAGTGAAGACTAAATGTTGATGCAAATATTATGAAAGAAACTGTACCTGATGAGAAGATGTACATACTATCAGAACTAGCACAGTAAGCACGAATGCTTAACACCACAAGCAAGATCTGTTACTCTGAGATAAAATCGTTACATTTGAATGCATCATAATTTTGTATAAGGCAGACATTCTGAAGAAGAAGACAAAGCAGAAGAAGAAGGTGAAAATGTGGCAACATTAGCAGAGTATATCAAGATTTTTATCAAAGAGTGTAATGATAGCAACATAATCTTTTCCTGATGATTATTTTTGGGGGATAACGTAGACATTCTGAATGAGGAGAAATAGGAGAAGGAGGAGAGGAAGAAGAAGAAAAAAAGCAGTTTATATCAGTATTTGTGTCGAAGAATTGTTAGTAATAGTAACATGCTCTTTTCCAGATGATGAAGATAGCAGCAGTTCAGATGATGAAGACAGCAGTTCAGGTGATGAAGGTGGTCCCTCAGGCCTGTTGAGAAGTGGTGATGCTGATTCAGATAGTAATCTCCCAGTTTATTTGTGGAAGCCAGCCCAGACGACAGACAAATTAGGAGCATGGGAGAGGCATACAAAGGTACGTTTTATGTCTCTGAATTCTTTCAGTCCCAAAGTAACACCTGCTGTGTGAGTGGCTCTATCCCTCGATTTCTTCCATAGCATTATGTACTCTCTTAATTTTAAATTTTAGTCAGAACATACTGAAAAATCTGGCCACCCATTTTTTTAATTATCACTGTTTATATCAATTGCCATATGAGAAATTAAAAACAAAAACTCTTATCTGTGAGGCTTGTGTTCTTAGCACTCGGCTTTGAGGCAGTGAAACTTGGTCAGCTTATTCACACCAGGAGAAATGGCTAAATAGCTTTCACATGCGATGCCTAAGAAAAATACTTGGCATTAAGCGGCCGGACAAGATCACAAACACTGAGGTACTGAAAAGAGCAGGTACTACAACAGTTTTCTCAGTGCACAGTCTACAGAGTCTCAGCACACCTGGAGAATGGAGGATGGCAGAGTCCCTAATAACATCCTGTATGGTGATTTAAAGATGATTAGAAGATGTCGCAGCTGACCTCTACTACGATATAAAGATGTGTGCAAGTGGGACATGAATGATACACATATTGAGCTAGGCTCATAGGAACGAAATGCTATGGACTGTGTTTTGTGGAGGGAATGAGAATGAAGGAAGAAATTGCAGAAAGGATGAGAGCTGATTGTCTGAGAAGAAAAACACTAAAAACTTATTGCAGAAAGGATGAGAGCTGATTGTCTGAGAAGAAAAACACTAAAAACTTACTGCAGAAAGGATGAGAGCTGATTGTCTGAGAAGAAAAACACTAAACACAAATGTTGACAACAATGATCCTTAAATTTCTTGCTGTGATTGTGGAAGAGTTTTCTTAACATGGGCAGGACTTGCTAATCACACTCATTATTGCCATGGGCTGTAAGTCCCAGGCTTCCTCATAGCGCAGTGTAACACTATCGTCTGGAAAGACGGAAAGCTGCCAGTCTATTGCCACTTTCAAAGTAATACTTTCATAATTTTTCACCATGGTTGTTTCTCTACTTTGGCATCTCATTGAAACCTCATTGGTTCTGAAAGAGTTAGCACAGGTGACACAACAGACACATCTTTCTACAGAATTCACCGGCCTAAGTTGTAGCAGACAATTCTGGCTGTTCGTCCATTTGGAATTTGGCTTTGTTCCAAGGCCTGAGAGCAACATGTGGCCACACCCTGTAGACCTGACAACCAAGCTTTGAGTCAATCTTAAGAAACCTTGAGATGAGTTTATGGCCCACAGTGGATTCAGCACATGACCGGAGATCACTGAAGAAGAAGAAGTAAAAGAAGAAGAAGAAAGGACCACAAATTGGGAGGAGATGAAGAAGAAGTAAAAGAAGAAGAAGAAAGGGTCACAAATTGGGAGGAGATGAAGAAGGAAGATGGTTTTGGGAAATACCAACAGAGACAGATCTACAGGGACCATTTGAGTATCGTACAATTTCTAAGCTACCATGATGAATGACACTTTAATAATATTGTCTATAAACACTATTCCTTAGTTTCTGTGTATACTAGCGGCTCAGAAGAAGATGTGGAATGTTACTCGTTTTCTTGTTTTCTTCTGAAACCTCTAGGGCATTGGTTCCAAGCTAATGGCCAAGATGGGTTATATTACTGGCCAGGGTCTGGGTCCACAGGGAGATGGAAGAGCTGAACCAGTGCCTATTATGCTTTTACCACAAGGTAGATTTTTATTCTCTTGTTAGCTGTCATTACACCGCATAGTTTCTGAATGTGTATTGCACAGAGATTTTCCTTCTAAGATATCTTTTCAGATGAGAAGGCCGTAAGCCAGTGATTCCTAAATTGTGAGCCTCGGGGAGCCGCGACCTCTTCACAGGGGCGCTGCAAAATATTGTAAACACTTCATAATTAATTTAACCAAGACATGAATAGTCATAATTTTACTTGGGTTAGAAAATTTTTTTTTAATTGGAAAAAGGCGCGCGACCAAGGAAAGATTTGGGAAACACTGCCGTAAGCCTCTGTGAAGGTTGTGAGACAACATTTGTCCACCAATGATCCATATAGCTGGGTTTCCACTGGAATTCTAACTGTCTAGACCTGGAATCTTCCTACTGCAGGCAGAGAGCATGTCTGCAGCAGACGTTCAGTATTCTTGGGTACCTGTCCACTCTGGCAAATTTCCCTCATCTTGAATTTCCTTTATACATAAGGTTGTAGAGTCTTCCATTACCATGTAGCAGCTCCTTTGCAGAACATCGCTCTCATCACGGTCTGTGTGAAAGAAACTTGGTCTCTTGCCAGCTCTCCCGCCTCATGTACTTTCATACTCAAGGAGTCACTTATATCCTGTGCCCATCTTCGTGTTGATTGGCCCCTGCCCCTCCTTCCTGGTACCATGCCTTCTGCTATAATTGAGAAGAGACAGGGTTATGAATACCAGCATTAGAGAGAAAGTTGGAATATGACCATGTCTGGTTTATGTAGGCAGACAAAGAATGAAATGGTTCAGCCATTTAGTGAGAATGCAGCCAGGCCAAACTGCATGTGTGACTTTTTACAGCAGAACATCTGGGAGGACGGCGAAAAGAAGATCAGGAAAAATGTAGATAAATGGTGTACTCAAAACCTGGAAAGAAGATGAACAAATCCATCGCCTAGACCATCCGAGAAGTGCAAGACAAATACAGAAGACCTCAGGTCTGGACTACAACCTGGTGTCAGTGATGAAAAAATAAGAAGAAGAAGGATTGTATTCTGGATGGGAAATGTATGTTTCCTAGTTCACAGGTGAGGCCCCCCCCCCCTCCCCAGGTCAGTCCATAGCAGCCATGTAATGCTGGTCAGTCCTCAGCGTTAGGTATGGACAGAACAGGAGCATTCCCCATTGTCCAAGGAGGCTTCCATCAATGCAGTGCCAGTATATACATGGTACTCTGATACTGGGCTCACCCCAGGAATCATCACCTCCTGCTCATGACAGTTTATCCTCACTTCTGTATATTGAGCCTCTCATTCATCATGGACTATGCCTTTATTAAGCCTGCAGGAGGCATCCTGTATTCAGTGAGGGTACTGCTGGGGTGACCATTTGTTAACCCCTCACATAATGCTTCAAGTCACAGTGGACACTAGGCACGACCACTTTTTTTTTTTTTTTTTTTTTTTTTTTTAAAGCCGTGGCAGTTCTGCCAGGCGGTGGCCGTTGCATTTTTGCTCCATTTGTAGACTGGAAGGATATAGTTTCGTCACCCAGCTTCTGAGTTGAGTGCATGGTGTGACACTGTGAGCTACGAGTGTTTTTCGTTGGCACAGGAGCGGAGCAACAATGGGGTGACCCGTTTGCTATGATGCTGAAACTAGGATTACCAGATCCTGTATTCAGTTATCTACAAAAACTGAGTACTTTGCTATTTAAGCATGTCAGAATTTTATTGCAGTGGACTTCTGTGTCCACTACAGTTTCTTAGGACTGTTCTAATGTAAATATTGAACTTGTTGCTGTCTAAAGGAAAATCTCTGGACAAGATTATGCAGCTCAAGGAAATGTCTGGCAATACTGATATGTTCAATGCAATGAAGGAGCTGGAGAAGCGACAGAAAGTGCAAGAAAAGAAAGAAACAGAGAAGGAAAAGCAAAGACAGATCAGACAGAATGCAGGACTATTTGGATTTATCAACAGAAAACTCGGGGAAGAGAAAGGTAAGTGACAGAATTTGTGTGCGAATGTTATGCTATGTTATTACATCAGTCAATCAGGTGGTGTCTATCCAGCGATGGTTGGCTGTAATAGACCTCCAACACACTCTGTCTCTTGTCCTGGTTGTACTCTCTCTCAGACTGCTGCCCATCCATCTCTTGAGGTTGTCCTCTGACTTGTATCGTTGCGTGCCTCTTGCTCTCTTGCCTTCAACCTTTCCCTTCAGTATGGTTTTTAAAAGTGTGTTGTGTCTTTGAATGTGGCCAGAGTATTTCAATTGTCTCTTTTTTATTTTTTCCAGTAATTCTTTTTTTCATTTGTTGCCTTTGAAGAACCTCTGTATTGGATTGTTTTTGTTTCTTTGAAATACAACCTGTTCTTCTGTATACTCACATCTGCAGATACTCAATTTGATTTTCTAGTTGCTTGTTCGTTGTCCACATTTCTGCAATTATTATTAACAATCAATGTCTTTGCATATTGGACATTACCATGCGTGCTCAGTTCTTCAATCCAGCAGCCACTTCAAGGTACCTCTACTGATTGTTCCCTTGAGTCGTTGGGTTGGAGTATCTACTGTCTTTACCTCGAAGATGGCTTAAAGATGGCTTAAACGTGCTTCGCCAAGCTCAACTCCTCAGTTATGCAGTCGTGTTAGCATCAGTGATTAAGCATTTTCCTTCAGCCTAGTCCGAACAGCGTGAATGATATCAGCTCTGTCCATGCTTCCTCCCGTTTGCGTGTGTGAGGATAGTTATCTCTGCAAGACTCTTTATCACACTCATCCGTGTTTCCCATCCTTTTTTAAAATAAGTTACAATTGTGTATCTTTTCTGCAGTGAAGATGGCTGCAGTGTGCCTACTGCTGATGGAATCTTACATGATGAAGCCCCATCTCTTCCATTGCGCATCTCTAATACCACTGTTCAAAAAGCTGTCAAAATAATCCATGAAAGAAAATTTAAAACAAAATATCGGCCATAAAAATATTGACTTTTTTACTTTGAGGGTTATGAAATTGTGCAGCGCTGTGGTTCCCAGTTAAAGATCTGCTGATTCATTTTACTTTTGAAGGCCTGTGATTTTTTAACAGTTTGGAAACTACCCTTCATGGCTGTTCTGTTCAGGCCACCAGGACCTTTACCATGGCTTTTGGGACAGGATGCTGTTTATGAGGCAGTTCTTCTCATTGCTCAGACCATGTAGGATGTTGGTGTTTTTCTTAGTCCATGCAATTCTTAAGTATTGAGCTACTTCAAATCACAAACCAAGAAACTCTAGTCAGTATAATAACACAGAGAAGATGGAAATGGCTTGGCCACATTATGAGAATGGATCCTGATTTAATTGCTAAAACACTTCTCACTTGGACACCAGAGGGAAAGAGAAATAAGGGGCACCACAAAAACAATATGGAGACAAACAATTGAAGGTGGACTGGGTGTTGCATCCCTGACTTGGAAAACTGCACTGAAGATTGCACAGGACAGGAAGGCAAGGAAAGTCCTCTCTGAAGCCTCGTGTGCCACTAGGCACAAAGAAAACTGTTTTAGCTGATAGTTGGTAAAATAATGGGGCACACACCTTATGTCCAAGTGCATTAGGATGCTGTTTATGAGCCAGTTCTTCTCATTGCTGAGATCATCAAGGATGTTGGTGTTCTTCTTGTTTTTGGTCTATGGTATTCTAATTGTAATGGTGAGTAAAATGTAATCACTTCTTCTTCTGTTTTCATCCGAAGATGTAAATACTTTGTGCATGTTTACACCATGGCTGGGATATTTGTACCTTTCGGCCAGCACATCTGACTTCTGCAACAAATGTAATTTAAGAAACAACAAGCAATTACAAATGTAAACATCTTTATTAAAAACAATATGCAAATTCAGTCAAGGAAGTAAATATTTTAATAAGCACAGTATATTAAATTTTAGAAAATCTAATTGGCAGAAGCTTGCAGCAATGCATTCATGGACATGCGCATACTTAACGCACTGTTTATCCTGTGTGAACACATACTTAGACACCATATGGCTGGCCGTTTGTCATGTTTAGACATCATAAGGCTGTTGTGTGTGAGCACATTCTTGGACACTGTAAGGCTGTTTATCATGTGTAAGCACATGTTTAGAAACCATAAGGCTGATTATCAAGTGAAAATTATGTAAACAGTTGCTTAGACACTGTGTGATATTGGAAATGCTCTGTATGTAGCAAAGTTAATTTGTTATTTGTTTGATTTGTTCATTCATTTATCATGTCTGAACATATACTTGTGGCTGTCGTATGTCAACTTCTTTTTCTTAGCTTTGACCGTCTGTAAACTCTTGCGGAAAGTCCTGGTTCTTTATTCATTTCTGGACTTTGATCTTGTTTCAGAACTTGAGTTGTGTGTACACATCTAATTTGCAGAGCTGCGCCTTATTTGTGTGCAGAATGTTGGTTCCTTGCCCATCAGGCAGATGCACTTGGACTTTGAAGGGAATATGTCAGCTGTCTGTCTGGCTGTATTGTGTATTTTCACCACTTGGTGGATGTCAACACATCCCTAAAACCGGCAGTTTACGTGCATAAAATACGGGAAAGTGGTGGTTGGGGGGGGGGGGGGGGGTCAATAAGTAACTCACAAATGGTAGTGTAAAAAAAAAAGAAAACGATAACAACTTGAAAACTGTTAATTTTATCACACACACACTGTTCCTTTGTTTTTCAACATAATTATTTCCACCAACATTGATGCATGTGTTCCATCATTTTAACATTCCTCCCAAGCCTGCTGCATAGAACTACATACTCTTTTTCTAAACCACATTTTCACTTCACATTCAACTTCTGTGTCATTTGCGAAATGTCTCCTGCTAAGGTGGTTTTTCAGCGGACCAAAAAGGTGGAAATCGCCAGGGACTAAGTCGCGGCTGTAAGGTGGATGTTCCAGACGTTTCCACCTAGATGGTTAATCTTTTCCTGAGTTAAACAAGCCATATATGGTTTTGCATTGTCATGAAGGAGCAGTACTCCTCTAGCAGTCCTGGATGTTTTCTTCAAATTGCATCATGAAGCATCAATTGAACTGTACAGTATGAATCAGCATTCACATTGTCACTTCTTTAAATTGGTTTAAAAAACTTCTTCACAAACCCAGAACACTGTCAGTATAACTGTCTCTGCTGATGGCGTAACCTTGCATTTTTTACACTAGGTGAAGAAGGATATTTCCACTTCGTTGAAGCACGCTTTGATTCAGGCTGGTAGTGATGCACGCATGACTCACCCTGAGTAATAATCCTGTTCAGCATGTCTTCTCCTTCATCTGCATATTGATAGAGATGCTGCAAGGAAAGGCCTAATCGGTTCATTTTGTGTTCATCCGCAATTTGTCTGGGTACCCACCTTGAGCACACTTTCTTAAATTTCAATTGATCATGCATTATGTTGTATGCTGAACCATGTGAGCACCCTATTGCAGCTGCTACAGAGTCAACCATTACTCGCCTTTCACCTTTAATCATCTCCTCCATCCGCTGAATGTTGCTCTCTCAGCAGGACGACCAGATCAGACTTCATCAACAATTTTAGAGCGTCATGAGAAAAGTTTCACTATCTGTGCACGGTTTTACAGGATAAACATTTGTCAGCATAAACAGGAAAAATTACCTTCTGAATATCCTTTGCAGGCAGCCCCCCCCCCCCCCCTCCCCCTTACAAATCACAACAGCACGTTTTTCATTGAGGGTACACCCCGTAAGTACAGTTGCCATTTTGTTTCTTCGTAGCGAATGCACATGCAACACTAACTACATGTTCCTGCCATCCCATTACCATGTGTGACTGACTGATTGACTTCACCTCGTACATGCTAGACACTATATGGCTGTTTATCATGAGCGAACACATAAATAACACGCCCACCCCTTCCCTTCAACTGATTAACTATTCCAATTAGAGACCCCCTCCACCCACCCTAAAAAAAATGCCAAACTATGTCACACTAGAAGACAGCCCCCTCCTCCCCCTACTAGTTAATACCAGAGCACTACACACCTCCCCCCCTGCCCAAATGGGCGTAACTAGTTCATACTATAGCACTACACACCTCCCCTCCTGCCCAAATGGGTGTAACTAGTTCATACTAGAACACTACACACCTCCCCTCCTCCCCTCCCCCAAGAAAAATCACACACACGTTGATTATTACAGATAAGATCAGGCCAAGAAAGCACCAAATTACTTGAACAATAAAATTGCTAGCAAAGCTTGAAAGATGTATGTACAGGTTATTTGTCATCCATCACCAAGTACATTTGTATAGTTGTTTGAGTACAGCAAAGTACAAACTTACATAAGGTTGCACAGTATGATAATTGAAAGAATATGGAATATGCATAGTATTGATTAACGACATGGAGACACTTTAGTGTATTGTCAATGCCGCCATCTTTCCTTCTTCTTCCTGGCGATCTCTCGCAGTTTTAGTTTCTGCAGCCCATCACCTGCTGTGGGTGAGGGTGGAGCATGGGGCGAGGAAGAGGATGGAGGAAATTCTGCGTCTGGTTCTGGTGTAGCACCTTGGTCCAGGAGAGTCTCTTTGGAATCAATCAGGGCAGATGTTTGCATCTGGCTTGTTGCACCATTAATTTCATGGGTTGCAGCAGAAGTGTACTTCATTTCTGTAGTGTGCATATTTGTGGATGCTGTTACCGTGTCGGTACTGTGTCTTCTGTTGACCCTCTCACCACATTTCACTTCATAAAGATAATGCCTTGGGTGGGGATGGTCAATTGATTCTAAGCTGATTGATTTTGTTTCGTTGCTAGATATAGTTATATCTGTTCGGTTTTCAGTTTGGTTCGCTTTTAGGGTTAAATGTGTTGCTGTGGCTGCACTGGTGGTAATACTGTCATTAATTTCTGAACTCTTGTTGGTTGTGACTTGTAATGTTAATCTGTCTTCTGGACATATTTCTTCTTTTAGTTCATTTTTGTGACAGGATTCTTCTCCTTGG